AGTTAAGGAGCCAATCTGTGCAGTCACATCAGCGAAAAAGGTTGAATATATTTTATCTCCCAGTTAAGTTATGAGCTCTGATAAGTTCACTGGAAAAAAGTCTCTGCAACAATTGGTCGAACTGTCGGAGTTCAGATCAGATGAACGGAGCTGTCCAGCAGTGATGCCGTCACTTTAAGAGCTCAGGCTTTCATGGTTTGCCAGGTTACAACATTTAAAAAGGGACCCCCTCTACTCCAAACCCAGTGAAAAATAAGAACCTCAGTGGCCAATTGCCACGTGGCAAAAAGGTTGTCTAATATTTGGATTTAATGATAAAGTACATAGAGCCAAATGCAGACTTTTAAAGAAGAAGTAAGGTGATCTGTGTTTGCAATCCAACAGGCAGCTTGTGCAAACCTTTATTTGTTTATGTGCCTTCAATACACAGGTCATATTATAATGACCAAATCGTGCAAATGTATGAGTGGAGATATTTATCATGCATAACATGTGCAAAGTGTTCTTAAGATCTGAATCTCGACTCCAGGTGCAGTTTTTGCTACTTGTTTTTCAAGCAGAGTTGAAAGTCGCGTGCAAAATCCCACAACTTCTGTTCTCATTGTGGGAAACAAAGCAGGCATTGGTAGAATGCCAGAAGATGGAGACAGATAATGTGCACATGTAAACATGTTTGAATTTCTTAAAAATAACAATCATAGAATAATGATTAATAATTTTTTTTATGGGCCATCTTGTTTGAAAATGTATCAGGTCAAGGGACTGTTGATAGAAGTTGGTGGAGATAAATCTAACTGTTTAGAGCGTAATCCCGCTGCAGCTCTCGTGTTTCTTTCTCATGTTTTATGCTATTTTGTTGTTTTATTTCTAACTACATCTTCAGTTATTTCCAGTTATTTCATTTTATTTTGTATTCTTTTGTTCATAGTACTTTCAGATAGGCTACCTATGTGAAATGCACTTTAAATAATATTTAGGATTATGACATCATTATTACCTGCAACTACATGGCTTAGAACTTCATCGTTCTTTTGTGTCCACTATCAGTCTACTAGTATCTGATGCACTCGGGTCAGTTTCATTGCAGTTTTTGGGAACATGGGAACTGTAAAAGGAGGAAAATGTTAAAAGAGGAAAAATGACAGACGAGATTTAAAAGCGCATAAAGATAAAAAGAGAACATTTGCTTTGTTCAGCCTTCCTGTTACCTGCTTAATGTCTTGCTCTCTCTTCTGCTGAAGGCTAATTAACTGCAGACCTTTCTTTGTTCATTTGTAAACATGTCATTTAGACTGAAACAAGCTAACTTTGAGTCTTCTTCCCTCAGTGGCAGCTTCCATTCTCCTGCCACCCTACAGTCCACTGATATGGCGCATTCTTTGATCGGATTTTTTGTTTGGTTTTCTTTAAATTTGTAGTTTGGACAGTGACAAGTTATCGGTTGATTAAGCTGTTGATTGGATACCTGTTTTTAAGTTTGTTCTTCTTTATTGGCATCATTCTGCTACAAAACCTGAAAAACTGGTAAAAACAACTGTAATTTTCTACTGTGCTGTTCTCTAGTCTACAGCTTCGTCTGATGCATTTTATTTTCCTCCAGAAGCCTGTAATTGTTATTCTCATACACCTACCATATTTTGCGACTATAAGGCGCATATAAACGTCTTTTTTTTCCCTCAAAATGTGCAGCGTGCCCTATAGTGTGGTGCGCCCTATGTGTGTTGTTAATGCCGACGTTGTTGAGACCACCATGAGAACGTTAAAGGGGGAAGTGTGGGCGTGGATTGTGTATGTGGCTGAGAGTGGCTGAGGGAGGTGTATGTAAGGAGACTAGGGCTGCAACTAACGATTATTTTAAAAATCAATGAATCGGCCGATTATTTTTTCGATTAATCGATGAATCGGACAAAAAATATTTTTTATATTAACCTTTTTATTCCAAAATAAACATTTTAGACAGAACAAACAAGCACACAAGTACAGGTTGCTCATTAACTGTACTGGTG